TAATAGCAGTGAAGGGATGTTTCTTTGTCTACCTGAGGAACTGTATATTTTGTCCGCTTTCTTTGTCAGTCATGTTCATAGTGATAGCAACAAGATATGTGACAGTGTTATGATGTTTGTAGCTCGACCAGGTCATAGCCTGTACTTCTAAGTCTCTTGGTCTCTCGATGAAAACTTCGGTACAATCAATGGTACAACGTAAACGTCTGTATTTATTCTGGAGAGACTTTGGGACAAATGTGAAGACAGCTTCCCGTTCAGGCCCCAAAATCAGTGGTTTCAGTTCATGAGCCAGAAACTTGATCCATGTGTTGAATATCTGTGATGCAGTGCTTTGGGAAACCCAAAATAAATTGCCAAAGAACACAATCGTCAAAGCCATCCATAGTTTCATCAACACAAGGATAAGCTCTTGCTTTGAACTTAGAGCCCTTTTGGGGCCAGGTTTTTGCGGGGTGGGTTTCCTTGGGGCGTACCTCTTTGGGATGATTTTTTTTTGTCCAGTCCAGTATCTCATCTTTCCAACTTTGGGCTGCAGATGATTGTGGAGGTGCTCCAACTTTACCACTGTATCCATTCCTGCGAATGATTGTACATTTTCGTCACTCTTCAGTACAATGTCGGTTACATCAAATGATTTGCTACGCCTGCTCGATTTATTCTGTCTTAATTTATTCACAATTTTTCAAGCTTGTCGAGACGGGCATCCTTACCATTAGGTTTGCAATGAGTTTGAGACCACCTTTGCATGTTGTCTTCCAGTATTTGATTTGTCATTGAAGAAATGTCTCCAACTGCTCTAACACTCTCTGCCTTCTGTTTCAGATTGTACACATCTTGAAGGGAAGAACATAACATCCCGCATACCTTTAATGCTTCTGTGTTTTGGGCGCTCATCTCTGCAGATTCTCTTTGCTTTTCTTCCTTCTTGTGTTTTGCCAGATTCAGTTTTTCAGCCACTTGTTCTTTAATCCTTTTGCTTCTACGTACAGTATGCTCCTATTTTTTTTATATAGATTCAAAAAGCCTTCCTCTGTTTCATGGTGTCTTCAAGGTACTTCTCTCTCCTCTCTTCAGGCATGTTGTCTAGGAAGTCTCTTTTTTTCAAGCCAATGAATGTTTAAAGGTACTATGTCCCATTTGCAGGCCAAAAAAATGAAAAAGTTAAATTCCAACTGCATTTGAAAGATAATACTAGTTTAGAACTTCCCTAAAAAAGGTGGGGCTTGAAAATGTCTTCAAGTGGGAAAATAACGACTATTAGTTGTAAAATCGACTTTAGGGCTATAGAGCCCAAAAGTAGTAGTCTTGATTTTCAGACAATTGTACCGAATGGTCATACGTTTTATGCTGCGCAAAGATTCAATCAGTTTAATCTTGGCCATCACAAGAAGTGGGTTATTGATATAGACAAATTATCATGTACCCTTTATAACTCTTTTCATGTATGTTATTACCAAAGAAAAAGAAAAGCCAGTCAGTCACTCAGTAGTGTCTGACAGTGAAGTCTAACAAGTAAACGGGTTTCCTTGCATAATTTGAATATGAGGACACTGCTAACGTTTAAATTTCACAGAAAGGACATACATGAAATATTCATAATTCCTGCAAAGTTCTACAGCATTTGAGGTTGGCTGCAAAAGGGACATAGTACCTTTAACATAGCATATCAATAATGGAATGAATAAGGATAAAATAAAATCACATTCTTGTTTGTTTTTGTTTTTTTTAATATTTTTAAATGGGTCCCAAAATCGAAATCAATTTAAGATCGACTTGATGAAACACCCCCCTGGTGATATCCATGGCTCATATGTCTTTGTTATAATAAGCTTCCCACTGTTTTTTTTTTCATTCAAGATATGAGGCATTGAAGCCATAGCTTAATTCTGAATGGTAAGCATTATTTGATCAGTCGTAGAGGCAAGTTTCTTTAAAATAACCACTAACCCTACGGTATGCAAAATATGGTATGGAAAATTAGATACCGGTACCTTGGCTACATTACGTTAGTTTGTTTCTTTATAAAAATGCTTCTATGACTGATTGAATAATGCCTACCCTCTAGAATGTATCCTCATAGTCTTGAATACCAGTCTCCTACTGAATTGTGATATTTAGTCCATTTGTTTGAGCTAACATATATATGTTGTGATCTTGTGTGTAGAATCCATTTATTATTCTCTTTTGCTTTCAGTTTTATGCTCCTTTCTCAAAATACCTCTTTTAAGGTTTGTTTAGACACGGAGGGGTAAACCGCCGCAAAAAAAAGCTGCCGTGTTATTTTGGAAATGGCAACTGCGCCCAACAAAGGACTTGAGCACACTCACTGAGGTCTTTGTTATAAGATGCAGAAAAGCGAAGCGTATTACGCTTTATGTCATCATAAAGTTTTGCCGCATCATATATGAACAAACCTTTATATATATATATATATATGTATGTAATGTAATGTGTGTCAATTTGTAACTGCAGAAGTGGAAAATAATAAATGCAGTATCATGAATTGATAATCTTGCGTTTTAGATTGTTCTTCTTTTTGTCAAAACCTTTTAGTGAAACTTGCATCGAGCGGAAAAGAAAGAAAGAAATAAAATGAGAATGAGAAGGATACAGAAAGGGAGGCCAAAGAGAATATTGAGGTCTGATAAAGACATGCAGATGGTGGTGGGGGGGGGGGGAAGAGAGAGAGAGAGAGAGAGAGAGAGAGAGAGAGAGAGAGAGAAGAAATAAATGTAACCTTGTAAAAATTCATCCAGAAATTTATCTCTTCATCTCTGCCTTTTTTAGCTCTCTCTCTCTCTCTCCCTCTTTCTCTATACTTCTTTCAATCTCTCTAACTCCCTCTTTCTCTCTCGATTAAGAATGAATTGATATGATTGTGCGATATCCCTTGCTATTATGTAATTACCAGTCCAGGGGGTTGACAGGGGCATGCACCCCCCCCCCCCCCCCCCAAAAAAAAAAAAAAAATAATAATAATAATAATAATAATAATAATAAAAATTAAAAAATAAAAAATAAAAAAATAAAATAAAAATGAAGATCTATTTGTTTGGTTTTGTTGTTGCTTGTCGCAAAATGTTTGTACTTGTGTTCCCCCTCCCGACCAAAAACAGACAAACAAAAGAACATTACTGGACAAGACATACTTTTCTCCATTTACTGCACTGCACTGAATAATTATTGCATATTCTCAACTCTGTTTTACTTACATAACTACCAACTATTGAGATTTCTTTTTTTTACATCAAGTTTATTAATAAAGTTTGCCTACTCACTAGTACTCAGTAATCATACTGATGTGATGTTGCAAAGAAAACATTGAAACTTATAAATTTAATGCACAAATCAAATGAAACGTTATCTTATCTTACTTTTGCATCATGAAGCCTACACATTTTTTTTTAAATATGAATGTTGATTCAAGTGACCAAACTTTGCAGAACTGAAAATGAGAATAAATAAAGATGTAAACAACACAACAAAGTAATACCTCTGTTACTACCCTTCTTCTGTGTATGACAATTAATTACAAATAGAAATGTACACAAATTCATATCAATTTCAATTAATTAAGTTTTGGCACAATGCCAATGTTTGCAGCAACATTGTTATGCAATAATAAGTAATAGGGGGGGGGGGGGTACAGTCTAGAGGATCATTAAATAGTCTAGCCCAGCTAGTTTAATGTACATAGCATCTTATAACAAAAATTATAAATTTAGATTCAGAATCTCCTACTAGCATGCAGGTCATGAGAAAACATGACAGTAGTAATTGCAAAAATTCTGATTATATGAATTCTTTCATGCATATTGTGCCAAAATCCTCTGCCGTATTTACACCACGACTTACAAAATGACTGTCTTTTAAATAGACATCAGAGTACATCAGAGTAACAGAAGTAAAAATGTTTTCTAGAAAAGTACAGCTAACAACAATAACTACTCATACCCTTACCGAGTAATGCAATTGTTTAAGTACATACAACATTGATTTGTCCCTATTTGTGTTTCTTTAGAATGTGACACATTAAAGGGATCTTTTAACAATGTTAAATCTGAGATACACGGCCCTACGTGTTATCAGTGTCTGTGATATGGTGTAATATTGAAGCCCTAAAAAAAATTGCGCTTCAAAATGATCAAGAAGTGCCTCAAAAAAGTAAAAATCTTTGAGTGACCGGTTTTACCATACTCTTTTTCCCCAATAGACTGTAGTGTTATGAAAACCGTCAGGCGAACGGTTTTCAAAATTTGTAATTCCAATCATAAATATCTTGATAATCAGACAGGCGATCGGCTTGTAAAAGTCATGGGGTTCCTGACTGACCTAAGGTTTATAATTATCATTGCATCATGAGCTAAATCCAGAATTTTATTTCAGAATCTGAGACAAAGTTACTGGATCCCTTTAAAGCTTTCACCTAAAAGTATTGAACAAAGGCCCTAATTTAACCAGTCCACCTCTCATTCTTCAGTTACAAAAAAAACACAAAAAATATCAAATTTACAAGGGGTATGAATGAATAATTAAGTTGTTAACTGTACAATGACATTTGGCATTACATATCACTTCACCAATATATATATATGGGCAATTCCACGGTAACGGAAGGACACTCAGACAAGATTTTTGAACTTCAGGTTCATACTAAAAGAACTGTTTTATTAGTATAAGATGTGAAACAGTACAGATATAATACCTATATAAGTGCCTTTAATTCTCCCAAAAAAAATTGTCATTATGGTTAAGTAGTTTAAGAATGTGCATATTAATTATCTCGGTAACGGAAGGACATAAAAATAGACATGGTTTTTCCAGTTAATTAGTGTTTATCCAAACTTTGTGAAGTTGATGAAGCTTTCCACTTGACTGAAACACATTTTGTTCCCCATAGTTTAATACATACTAATAAAACATTTCTTTTAGTATGAACCTGAAGTTCAAAAATCTTGTCTGAGTGTCCTTCCGTTACCGTGGAATTGCCCATATATACTAACAATTACACAAGTAGTTGAGGTGAATAACAATCCTACAAAGGAGTCTTTGTTTTAACCCTTTTGTGACAATCATCCCACATTTTGTGGTTTGGCTCAATAACTTCCGATTTAGAGCCCTAAAAAATTTGCCTGATGCACGAGAAGAAAGAGCACAAATTGCTACACACCTTGCATTAATTTTAATTCCATGACTGTACTGTGTTTAATGCTAGGAGTGTTGAAAAGGAAAATAACCTTTACAATCCTTAAATTGGCAACACGTTTTAAGATTTAAAGTCATTGTTTTTCTATTAAATTTGGCAATGGTTAATTTTCAAGATCATTCTCGCTCGTGTTTTCAGAGATATCACATATCATTTGAATAATTTAGCGATAAAAGAAACATATCATTGTGTCCAATTTGATGAGGATTATTGCATTTCTCACGCCCTCTTTAACCCATTGTCTACTGGGACCGGGTGGCCCCTGTATTAAACCTATGAGAAAGAGAGATTGCAGTAGTCAACAGGTTAATGCAACTGTCTTCCAGAAGCTGATGTCGTGGCTGTTCATATTCACATGAAACGTGATGCATGGCAAGCTGTAAGACTATTAAATAGCACACTTGCATTTCATACAAGGGGGGCTGATGCAACAAACTGCTATAGGTACATGTATATGAGATTAGTTTCTGTCTCTACTCAGAAGGGCTATACCTTCCATACTAAACATAACACATCCACTGCGTTCCTACCGGTACATATCACGGTCTTCGTGATGTGAACACAACTAGGTTTGAATGCTGTTTAGTGCATTCCCACAATAAAGAGGGGTTTACACATGTAAGTCAAAATATCCGATATCACATCAAAACAGTCTTGATGGTGTAAACACACCTAAGGTTGATTCCTGTTACGTGCATTCCCACCAGATATATGTGTGGGCCTACCTGTAATTAAATCTAGCAGATATTGTCTCTTGACAGTGTGAACACACCTGGGCTTGCACGCTTTAGAGAGCATTTCCCACAGACAAGTGTACTGGACACTTTAAATCCAACTAGCTAACAGACTCGTGGTGTGAACACATCTAGGCTTGCATACTGTTGAGTGAATTCCCACCAGACGGATGTGTAAGTTTGGTTAGACGTAGAATCTTCTTACTTAGATACGCAGTGTGTAGTTTGAGATAGTGGATCATGTCTGCTTGCCGCTCCAGGAGGTTCTCCAAGTAGCCCATATCCCTGAGAGAGGAAGAAGAGAAAGAGATGGAGGGAGAGAGAGAGGGCATTAAACCATGTTATAAGAGAGAGCGATTCTTATCTATAAAGCAATATCAGATACACTGTCCTGGACTGGATACCAAGACTCCATAATTCAAACAGGGTGCTAATATATTTATACAGTCTGTAAAAAATCATATCATACCCACGCCCCCACCTCCCACTCTGTGAACGGAGGGATACCATGCTTGTTCCCAAACTCTCCAGCTCGTAACAAAAGAAAAAGGTTGACCCGTATTGACTTTACACACTGGACTTTTGCTGAAAAGGGGGGGGGGGGGGGGGGGGGGGGGGGGGGGGGAGGTCGCTGGGAACATGCATATGCCTACCCTAGATAACACTGAATGGGGGAAGGCCGGGATCATACCCCCTGAAAAATAAATAAAGAAATAAAAATAAAAAGTGTGGGAGTCTTGTACATGAGGGTAGTACGTAACGGGCCAAAAAGTTGATAATTACAAAAGAGAGGGATAATACAATAAAGGTAGATGAGGAGGGGGGGGGGGGGGTTGGGGCTAAGTAGGAAAGACAGAAGGAGCTAGGGAGGGGGACGGGAGGTAAAAGGGAGAGAGATTCTAACTAGAAAACATTGTCATGTAAAATTACCGAGGACTGTGGGATAGATGAAAGAATTGAAATCTCAGACGGTAACAGTGAAGGGAAGGAATGTAGAGGGAGAAAACACAAGGGAGGGAGTGAAGGGGAACAGAGACAGAGAGAAACAGAGAGAGAGAGACAGAGAGAGAGAAAGACAAAGGATGGCAAGAAAGATAGAAAAACTGGGGATCTTACAGTACCTATACCCAATATCAGGAATGGTTGTTGAAGGTTGTGTAATAGATGCATTGAACTCTTCCTGTTCAACGTCCGGTAAAGCTCTTCTCTGGTTGAAGTGATACACAAGTACTGTGGAAATGATAATGATAATAATACATTACATTTATAAAGTGCTTAATACTTATGTTATTCAGCGCAAGAAAAAGAAGGAAAAGTAAGAGATACTAAAGAAACATATTGAATTACAAGTAAACGGCAAACAAGAATATGACATTACAAAAGATAGATAAACCAGATATGGACTCAGAACTATAATATACTAGGTGAAATGCTCAAATACAACTTAAAGTAACCGGGGGCCCATTCCTAGAAACCGTCATAAGTCTAACTTCTTGACTATCCCATTGAAACGCGTGTTAATCCTATAACACACGTTTCAATGGGATAGTCAAGAAGTTAGACTTACATGTATGACGGCTTCTAGGAACGGGCCCCTGAAGTATGAACTATCATATTCAATATTATAATTATGTACAATAAAATACATATTATACAACATTATGCAATAGAAATTACAATATCATTAAACTGCAAGATAGTATGATTAAATCGATTACGCAATCAGACAGTCAATCAATCACCCAACAAAATGAAATCTTGTGCCCAGTAGAAGGGGGTCACAAAAGTCACTGCCATGGGATGTACTTTTCTATAAGTTGTGCATTTCAAAGTTTGTTATCATTCTTTAAGTACACCCATGCAATGCAGCAGTCCGTAATATATCTAAGTTGCAAATAGTGTTAGGACATAAATTCTCTACCAGTATATCATTTATTTACCCTTTCATTGCATGAATATAAGATTGAAGGATGCGCTGGTAACAGTGGATAAAAATGTACAAAGTACATGTACAAGGTACATGTACAAGTTCGCCGACATCCCATTGAACTACGTGTTAATTGTAAAGTTTAAATGGAATGTTGGCCAACTTGTACTCATGACAGTTTCGTGAAACGATGCCCAGAATATTAAGTCAAGCTAGCGCCGTACTGACTTACCTGTGTATCTGAGCAGGCTGGCTAGGGCAAGAATCACCTCTAGTGTTACGATGATCTGAACGTGCATGACTGACTTACCTGTGTATCTGAGCAGGCTGGCTAGGGCAAGAATCACCTCTAGTGTTACGATGATCTGTACGTACATGACTGACTTACCTGTGTATCTGAGCAGGCTGGCTAGGGCAAGAATCACCTCTAGTGTTACGATGATCTGTACGTACATGACTGGCTTACCTGTGTATCTGAGCAGGCTGGCTAGGGCAAGAATCACCTCTAGTGTTACGATGATCTGTACGTACATGACTGGCTTACCTGTGTATCTGAGCAGGCTGGCTAGGGCAAGAATCACCTCTAGTGTTACGATGATCTGTACGTACATGACTGGCTTACCTGTGTATCTGAGCAGGCTGGCTAGGGCAAGAATCACCTCTAGTGTTACGATGATCTGTACGTACATGACTGGCTTACCTGTGTATCTGAGCAGGCTAGCTAGGGCAAGAATCACCTCTAGTGTTACGATGATCCGTACGTACATGACTGACTCACCTGTGTATCTGAGTAGGCTGGCTAGGGCAAGAATCACCTCTAGTGTTACGATGATCTGTACGTACATGACTGACTCACCTGTGTATCTGAGTAGGCTGGCTAGGGCAAGAATCACCTCTAGTGTTATGATGATCTGTACGTACATGACTGACTTACCTGTGTATCTGAGCAGACCGGCTAGGGCAAGAATCATCTCTAGTGTTACGATGATCTGTACGTGCATGACTGACTTACCTGTGTATCTGAGCAGGCTGGCTAGGGCAAGAATCACCTCTAATGTTACGATGATCTGTACGTACATGACTGACTTACCTGTGTATCTGAGCAGGCTGGCTAGGGCTAGAATCACCTCTAGTGTTACGATGATCTGTACGTACATGACTGGCCAGAGATTAGTAGCTGTAGAGTTATCCATGAATAAACCACTCAGGACTAAGATGGCTGCATTACCTATTAAAGTCAATCAAAACATAACTGGGTTTTAAAAATACATTTCCTAAAGCCACACTGCACTACTTATTGCTACTTGCTCCCTATATATAATAAACAATGCCTAATTGGTGCTGTTGGTCCCCCATGATCCTCTTTTTCTTACCGTATGTTAATTGAGAGCTGATTTGATGAGATAACCACCTATCCAGTGACCTTACAGGGTAGTCTAATCCCTCCTGTTCACTAGTATAGGCTTTAAGACTATGCAATGTCTGCAATGCATTATTCAAAGTGCAGTAGCAGAATTAAGATTACAGCATTTAGATAAAGACGACCATCATTAAAACCAGCTTCAAATCAGCATCTACTTTACAAATAAGCTTCTTAAATATTTGTTGGGGAGCTTGAGGAACTGCTACTAGTCACAGCCCCATATACACGTCCAGGGGGTGTTTCACAAAGATCCTAAGTTGAACTTACAGTGTAACTCTAAGTTGGACTTAACAATCATGGAAAGCTGTTAGCTTCTATACAAATATTTGGTAAAAGTTATTTCAAAAGGCATAAAATGTTGATTCAAATCGTTCATATTTTCTATTATCAAGGAGATTTCATGTTCTTGATGTGGAATTTATAAAAAGTCTAAAATACTTAAATTTTTGCTTTTGAATGTATTTCATTTTAAGGTTACAAATGGCTTTCCATAAATGTTAAGTCCAACGTAGGGTTAAGTTCGACTTAGGATCTTTGTGAAACACCCCCTGGTAACTGTGTGAGTGAACCAACGTTGAAGCACTAACCGATTGATACCAAATAGAGAGGAGCCCTTTTCAGCTTCTGCGTCTTGCGATAGAACTGGAGGTAGCCGTGCCTCATGGATCGCCGATGAGCGAAGTGAAGATAGCGCTCGAACATGAGGAGGAGGAGCCAAACGGAGGTCTGAAGGTAGATGATGATGATGAAGCTTTGCGACTGCTTCTTCTGCTGGGGGTCCTGCGTCTGTTTCAGGATGGTGTATGGCATTAGAAGGGAGATGACCTCATGGGCTACCTGTGATGGAGAGATTCACAGAGCAGGAGATAGCACCACAAATACATGCAGATATAATTCAATTATAATTCAAGTTTATTTCTACATCTGGTTAAAAACAAAGGAAAGCTACCAACATGTGTAACTATATATATAACAAAGATTCAAAAGAAACATATACTACTCATAATGTGGTGGGAATAACAAACAGGCCTACCAGTATGAAGGTAATTCCCAGACTAAATACAATTACGGTACATAAAATTTGTATCTATCTTGCTTACAGGGCAAAAAATGAGGATATTACAAAATTACGTGATATGATCATTTATGTTTAAAAGGGGGAAAAGGAGTGAGAGAGAGTTGAGCATGCATGTAGCCACTGGAGGGGGGGGGGGCACAGGGGGCATGTGCCCCCCCAAAAAAATTCCAAGATTGGTTGAACTTTTTTAGATCCCTCCCCAGGACGTTGATCAATTACATGTACATGTATGTGCCCCCCCCCCCCCCCCCCCCCCCCCCCCCCCCAACATCAAATTGTGGCTACGGCCCTGAAGATGAGAAATAACAAATACACATTTACAAAAATAGGCAGATGGAGAGGGGTGACACAGAGGCAAATAAAGACAAATAGAAAAAGTCAAACAGAGGTGTGATTACAGAAAGGAATACACTAAGGCCTAAATAAAGAGAGATATAGAGAGAGAGATAAAGAGAGAGGAGTGAGGTTTCCTTTGAATTAAAAAAAAAGGAAAAGAAGAAAAAAATATTAAAAAGCAATACACTAACTCACCAGAATGATCATCTGAATGATAGCTGCCCAAATTGCTCTGATTGGACGAAACTTTGGGGATTCTTCCGACGCCAGCCCGTTACTTGGGATCAATTCCTCATCATCGTTCTGAAACTCTGCCGAAGAGGGACCACCCTCACCGTCAAAGAAAACCCCCTGGAAATTGGAGACCCAAAACACAATTTAGTAAATGGGTTTATTGATGCCCGTTTAAAAACAAAATACTTTGAGAAATTTATAACAAACTTCTTCTGAATTTGTGAATGAAAAGTTACAATGCAATACTGGTTATTTCACTTTAAATATCTATTCCCTAGAATATAGATCTAACCATTTAAGTTCACTAATTCATGATCATGTTTAACAAATAAAGGAATTCACAAGGCTGATGTTTGTAAAGTTGTGTTTCAACTGTTTGTAATTTATTTGATTTTCTTCTGATTATTATCATTATTCTCCCTTCGCTCTATTGGAGATCAACAGCTACCAGAGTACTGCAATTGTGTCATAGTAAGTAGGTCAATGGGAAAAGCAGGCAAGAATGTCATGTTAATTAGATAGTGAGTGATTTCAAGTTTGGTGTTAGTGTTAGTGTTAGTGTTTAGAGCAGTCGAGAGCTCTTAAATCGAGCGGAAAATTTGCTAATGAAATTAAGAGCCCGATACCGATATCAAAATCGATAGCTTAACACCAGCTGTGACGTCACCACATACTTGATTTCATGACGATGATTTAAAAATATACATCAAACTAAAGATAACATGAAAAGTACAGAATAAATTTACACCTATTTCTCTGGTCTTATAAAATAACTAATTTTACACAAAAGAATATATGAATCACCTGTTTCACATATTTGTATTTTAACGTCAGACAATAAATTGGCGTCGTTCGTGCGTTGACTCTGTGCGGGTACAACACTAACACCGAACTGGAAATCAACATTTGCTTAATCCCTAGGGGCTAGTGTTAGTGAATAGGACATTTGTACGTAAAATATTAACACCAGCCACAAAGGTCGATTCAGCAGACGACAATTTTGCAAAATCGATAACACTAGCTACCGGAAGTTGACGATATTCAGAGTTCAAAGCCTTAACACCAGCTGATTTCCATTTCGGTGTTTAGGCTGGTGTTAGTGTTTATTAAACACTAACACCAGCCTTAAACACCCAACTTGAAATCACTCAGGGTATTGGAGATTGGGATAGTACGTACGAGCAGAGTGGATATGTATAGAAATGAAAGTGATGCATGAAAATAAAACAATGATAAGAGAGCCAATATAATTCATGAAATTTTAATAATTTCATAAAAAGAGACAAACTTTTCTCAGTCCATGTAATGCATAAATGTCCTATAATAGTGGCCTCCTTTAAAGTTTATGCAGCATTTTCACCAAATTTCTAAGAAAGAAAAGTGCAGTCACTTGGTCAATCTCCCATTTATTTGTTCTCGATCTTTCCTTCTTCTGTCCTTGACTTTTTCTTGACTATTCTCTTCCAATTTCCTCCCCCTCTGTTTTTTATTTTCCACCTCATCTTCTCTTCTTGTTCCATTCCACCAAGTTCTAATTCGAGTCAAATTAATATCCGACTCTGTATGTTTACTAAAAAAGTCTAGGCCTAGATCTAGATTCGTCTTCAATAATCCAAGCCTTCAACAACTTCTTAATTCATTTCTTCAGGTTTGGTTCTTCATTTTGTTCTTTATACCTATATATCTTCAGTCTCGATACTTTCTTTTGTTCAACTTCTTCTTTTACCCCTCCTCATTTACTCTCCTTCTCTGTGCTCTTTTCCTGCCATTCTTTTCAGAAGGTAAGCATTAATTAAACCCCACAAATATTGGACGTGTGGGACCACGCAACAAAAATCGAGTTTGTATTCACCCATTTTTCACACAACTCGAGGACATGTTTTCAGATGTCACATACTTACCCCTTGCCTTGTACTGTCATGGTCCAGGCTAACCATTTTGGGAATAATAATTGCTTAAATGAGCTAAGATTTTGTTAGGTTAATTTCTCAAGATTTCCAAGTCCATCGACATACGAGTACGACGTCACCTGACCAATCAAAGGAAATAATAGCTAGTTGCAGGTCACATGATCCGATCATATCGGGCGTGTCGCTCACGGGGTCGCTCATTGATTTTGATTAAATATATGATTTTCCACAGTAGAGAGAAGGGAAACCCTCCAAAAGCAAAATAAATAGAAGATAGAAATGGGAAGCCTTGGAAAGTTTTGAACAAATGTGTGTTTTTTTGTTCCTTCAATAACAACTTCTCGACCCTCTTAATTCTCTTCAGGCACGTATATAGCCAGAGTTTGATGTTTGGGGGGGGGGGGGGGGGAGGGGGAGGGGGAGGGGGAGGGGGGGGGGGTCACCAACCGGGTCACATACATGTAATTGATCGAGGTCAAAAAAAGTTCAACCGATCTTGGAATTATTATTTTTGGGGGGGTGGGCACGTGCCCCCCCCCCCCCCCCCCCCGGTGCCAAGTGCCTGCTTTTCTTCTCTTCCCTTGCTTTTCTTTTCTTTTGTTTGTTCGTTTCATGTTTGTGTTTGTCGTTGTTTTGTCGTCCTTGTTATCGGGTGTTTCAGTGTCACGGTGATGGGCGGCTGAAGGGGGGGGGGGGGGGGTATGTGTTCTCTTTCTTTTTCTTCTTTTAAATATTTTTTTCCTTCTTTTTATTAGTTGCCGAGGGGCCGGCGGGCCGGGGGGGGGGGGGTGGGGTAGTTGGTTATATACCTCTCTTGAAGGAGGGGTAGGGTGACCTGGAAAATTACGCGGGGAGGTCTATTCTCTCCTGGCCAAACTATAGTGCAGATAGGCTTTAATTCAAGTTAACATCACAAATCAATCAGTAACTGTTATATTGGTTAAATGTTTAACTATATATCTGACGAAATTAAAATAGGTTATTAAGTAACTCAGTTCATATAGATTGAGAAAGTCACAAAGTGATTAAGTAAATGTTTTCATTAAAGTCGTGTGTGTGATTTGATTTATTGATTTCTGCATTTTTAAACCACAATAATAATGAGTAACGTTGTACATAGTGGTAACATTTGTCCATGATCGCAATGAATAACACAATTTATTCAACAAAATGTTGGGAACTATTGAAATAGCAAAATTTGCGCTTAAAGTGCATGCAGCAAATTATGATAACATAAACAGACAAAACCGACTTGCATCAAAGAGAGAGAGAGAGAGAGAGAGAGAGAGAGACACAGACAGAGACAGAGACAGAGACAGAAAGGGACATAATAATAGCGGCAGGATACCATGAACACTGGTATGCGGCTATCTATTTAAATGCTGAGATATACCCCCAAAAGAGAGAGAGAGAGAGGGGAGGGTTGATAGAGAAAGAAAGAGAGAAAGGTATATAGAAAGATAAATAGAGAGGGAGAGAGCACAGAGCTGGAAAAGTCAATCAGTAGATGTGAGTGTCTGATTTGTGTGTGTGTGTGTGTTTAATAATTCATCATTATTTTTGTGCCTATCTAAGTCAGTGAAATTAAATAACAGCTCGGGTAATCCTGACTTTGAGGAAACACAATATTAGCTACAATATTTGTTGGGATGAGCTGATCTTAGGGCGGAGGAGGGTCCCAGATAGCAAAATGTTGTGGGGCCCATCTGGGTTTTATCTGGTTACACCTGGGTTGGCCCTCTTGGCCCAGATGGGCCAGCCCATCTATTGCCCACTTGGCCCATTTAGCCCATTTGGGTCCCAGATGGGCCCCATGTGGGGCCCAGCAATCTGCACCCGGGTTATAGAAGGGCCCCAGATGGGCGGCCCAGATTGGACCCACTTGGCCCAGATGGGCCCACGTAGAACCCAGATGGGCCCCACAATTGGCCCATCAATATACACAAGGGTTACCTATTGGGCACCAGATGGGCCATGTGGGTTATATGTGGGACCTACCACATTCTATATATGGGTCAAGTGGGTTCTATATGGGCCCCATATGGCCTATAAGCGGGTTTTTATATGGGATCCATATGGGCCAAGTGGGTTTGATATGGTCCCGTATGGGCCAATGTGGTTCTAAATGGGCTTCATTGTTTAAATGGGTTCTATTTTTACCCAGTTGCTGAATTCATTTATCCCATTTCTATTTCTAGGGTTACCAGTTGGGTTTAACTGGACCAGTCGTACCATTTGGCACAACTTTCAACCAGTTGAAACCAATTAGCAGACTTAATTAGTAATTTATGTAGCACTTGTACTATTTAATTTTGCCATTGGCAACAACACATCGTCTAAAATGTCCAATGTAAAGGCATTGGTATTAAGAAGACTTGGTTATTTTGCGGTGATGAGACATTTCCATATACTTGTATTTTATTGAATCTGTTTTAGGTCATAGTTAGTGTTTTTCCTAATCCATGTTTAATTAAATGTAATGTATACAAAGTAGTGAAATGTCCTAATAATTAGCAATTTACATTTAATAGTATTTTCGAAATGAATTGCTTATAACTAAATCATCAGTAATTAGGAAATATCCTGTAAACTCAGATAAATTGTAAAAAAACATAGATATGCACGCACCCCATATTCATTATGCAAATTCTGGGTATATTTTGTGGGTTTTGGGTGGGAAGGCCCATCTGGTATACATCTGGTTTTCAGCTGGGCGAAGACAATGTTCGACTTGCGATTTTCACCACCAAAAACCTACATGGGGCCTACAAGGGGCACATATGTGTTGGTACTTGTGGGTTTTTGGTGGGAAGGCCCATCTGGTATACATTTGGTTTTTAACTGGGCCCAACCGATGTTCGACGTGCAATTTTCACCACCAAAAACCCACATGGGGCCCAGATGGGGCACATAATGTGTTGGTACTTGTGGGTTCTTGGTGGGAAGGCCCATCTGGTATACACCTGGTTTTTAGCTGGGCCCAGCCGATGTTCGACGTGCGATTTTCACCACCAAAAACCCACATGGGGCCCACATGGGGCACATATGTGTTGGTACTTGTGGGTTCTTGGTGGGAAGGCCCATCTGGTATACACCTGACGTGCGATTTTCACCACCAAAAACCCACATGGGGCCCACATAGGGCCCATATGCGTGGGTTCTGGGTGGGAAGGCCCATCTGGTTTTTGTATGGGCCACGTGGGCTTTAGCCATCCCATACAAAACCCAGATGGGCCCCAGATATTTTGCTATCTGGGACGTAGGCCTAGGGGGATTTTGCCCTAACTAGCTGCGCCAGCGCGTCGCGTCGCGTAGCTTATGGCAACGAAGATGGCGTCCACCATATCGAGGAATTTCGGCGGCAGCGACATGAACCATTTATCTGGAGAGGAGAAGTTTCCTGAAATGACCGAATTTAGCGGTTCAAGTGACGAGGATAAGGCTTGTGCTAAGTTGTTTTGGCAATCAGTGACCCTTCACCCACCAATCGAATCAAGATTGGTATCGGGAGATATCAGGCAGAGACTTCCAAATGCGGGCCCATTTCTGCAAGGTAACTATTTGTAGTCCCAGATGCTGAAATGTATGTTTCTGTATGCAGTGATAATAATACTAGGTCTAGAGTAGATAGACAAATGCAGACATGAACTTGAAGTGAATGAATCTAGTCGAACTCATAGACATGACATATAGTTCATTCACCATTACAATTAAGAGGCACTAGTTTCAGAGCTACAGAGATAGATAGCCAGCACAATCACAATAAAAAATACAATTGTGGATTGACTTGTCATTTTTAATTTTACTTGATTTAGATTCTACCCCCCCCCCCCACAAACAAAAATGGATCTGTGATTGCATTGTCCGATGATATTTTCCACATCCCCCCCCCCCCTCCCCCCTCCCCCTGTTGATGCTAATGCTGTTGGCGACTGTAATCTTAGTTTACGGTGGCTAACTTAACACGCGTGCACCCCACCGTCGCTATACGGTATGCATTTGCAAAGTGCAGCAGTTTGCTGTGAATCCCGTGTATATTATAGATCTAAGTCTTCTTTTTTAAGAAAATACTCCAAAAGAGATAAGAAAATTGACACGAAGCAGGTAAGAAACATAACGACTTTTAAATCATGACCATTATTTGAACAATTGAGATTTGGTTGATTTTTTGTATATTTTAGTAGGGTAGGGTCTATCTCCACGTCGGAGTTACGGGTCAAAGTCTGGATATGATTCTGAACTAGCGCCGTAGTATTTTTACTACTAGGCTACTCATTATTTATTTGTTATTTATTTTTTGGAAATTTTTATTATTTTAATATTATGATATAAACTTCATCATTATCAGTATCATCATTGTTGTTGCAGTTGTTTCGTTCTTATCATTATTTTCTTTTTTTAATACAAGAATATCATTCTAAATTTTGAGCTTTTGGCATTATCCTTTCGTTTCACAGATCCCAACTATGCTCATGAGCCTGAACAGGATGATCCAAGTAAGTTTTATGTTTAATAATTTTTCAAATTCATCATCATAAGGCCTACTACAGGAATTATAAGACAATTTTATTACATATTGCTGAGATCACTAAAAACAGTCTTTCTTGTAAGTAATTATTGTTTAAATTGATTGAAACTTGAAGCTGTTGAAGTCACTAAAGAAATTCCACAGTGAGCTGTGATATCTCTTTGATAACACACAGTATGCATAAGTATACCCATTTTGGAAAGTAGTTCATATTTCATTTTTTTTTTTCTCTCTCTCTTTCTATTCCTCTAGGTCGCATTTGTGTGTGTACACTGTATATACCCTGTTATAATTATCTTTCTTTTTCTCTCCCTGTGTATCCACTTGTTTCTGTGGAATCTGTTTCAATATCATCACAGTGTAATATGTATGAACATCTTAACTATTCTGTGTTTTGGGGTGTTTTTTTTAATGAAGTGCATCTATTCAAATATTTGTTCCCATTTTCTGTTAACAAATTAAGCGCCAATGGGAATTACTAGTAGATCTAATGTTAATCCCCCTTCTCCCTGTTTCTCTCTCTGTCTCTGCCTTAGAATTGAAAGCATTTATGGCTAATGCCCATGCCCAGATGGTCTATGAAGAAAGTGCAAGTTTAACAAAACTGGTGAGTAACCTCTTGCTTGATTCAGCAAACAAAAAGAAAACAAAACTATACGTTGATGTTGTAATATGTGTCCACAATAATAGGCCTAAAAGAAAAGATGTTGTATACATTGCCCTTTCCAACTGACCCCCCCCCCCCAAAAAAAAATAAGTTTTAAAAAAGTTATAAAAAAAAATAATCAGACCGACTGACCCATGTTTTGGCACCAGAGGGCAATACAACATCTTTTAAAATATTTTTAGGCCTTACAGTTATCCCCTGTCAATATTGTCACCATGCATTGCAATGTACAATATATGATACATGTTATGGGGACCTAATTATGACTATAAATGGTGTATGACTTCGATATTCACTTGAGTATGAGGATTGTTGTATAATATAATAAATCTAAGAAAATATCTCTTTTGAGCCAAAAAGGGTATAGCTTTGTAAAAAGGTACAGTCAAACATGCCTTAGTGCCCTGCCTCTCTATATAGGCCACATGTGTATAGTGGTCATACTGTTTCCCTGTATGAAGAAATGTGTGTTGTATAGGACCTTTCTAGAAAGGCCACCTCGCTACATTGGCCATTTTTCTGATTCTCTTTGGTAGCCTTTAAAGACAAATTTGACTATGTATAATGTAATGTAATTTGAGCTCCAAACAGATTAAACATTCATTGAATTTGTTTAATGTAATAATAATTTTAAGTGTTTTACAAAAGGCTCAACGTACCGTAACAGGTGCCTATGGCACACCGGTGCCCTAAAAGCCAAGTCCAGATCCCCCAAATTTCAAAATGGTAAAATGTAGCTCATGTATACAGACCTCAAATGTGTCATTTCATACTCCTCAAAAAAAAAAAAAAGGATAATGTTGGGCCCTGCTTTCAGTAATGGCTATGATAATGATCTAATATAGCGGGCATCCAGCATCGTCCCATTGGTACCAGCCAGTGAATTATGCTTCGTTATTTTCTTCTCATTTCTTTGTTTTGAAGGCAATTAAGAGGCAAGAGACGAGAATGATACATCAGAAAAGACAATCTGAAAGGAAAGAGGTAAGACCCAGTATGATTTATTTTTATTTTGAAACAATGGTGATGTTGGTATAACATTAGAAATGGAGAGTTTCTGAAAAGAAATTTGATTGTAGTGCTGTTTTTTAATGTTGACTTAGTGGTTTCAAGGCCTATACACAGAGATGCCAATCTTCAGGACATTTCATGTAAATTGAGAAATGTTCAGAGGGAAAAATAATTAACATCAGAGAATATATAATTGAAATACCTTAAAAATCTGACCGGCAAAAAATCATTTAAAGTGTTTTAAAAGTGGGGTTTGGAATGCTGTTACTGTTCGCTATGCTCACTTTGCTCAAATTCTTCAATACTTGAATGTCAGTTCAGGTTTTTAAAGCTTATCTGTACTAGTTTACAGGAGGGATTAGACCGCCCTGCAAGGTCACTAGACAGGTGGTTATCATCGACTAAGCTCTCACTTAACATAAGAAAAAGAGGATCATGGGGGACCAACAGGCACCGATTGGGGAATTTTCTAAATAGAGGGAGCAAGTAGCTACAAGTAGGACAGTGTGCCTTTAAATGAAAATAAAAGTTAGGAAAAATAGATTCATGACATATATTTTAACAAAGACTTTGACCCTGTCACATACTGCTCTCCTAGCATTGCATCCACCATGAGGTCAGGAAACACACAAAACAAAACACTGCATGTCATATTCAGAATTATTCTTGCCCTTCTATTTTTTTCCTTTTTAAATCAAACTATTTGTGCATGAATACATTTTTGTTTTTCAAACTATTAAATCATCATTTGTTTCTTTGGTTTCATTGTTTGGTTTTCAGAAAGAGAAGATTTCCCACAGAACGAGGAAGCCACTCGTACCAGATGAGTAAGTCTTCTTCTTCACGATTTTTTCAATAACAAAAAAATTATCTTGCAGCATGAAACTTCATGAATCTAGAACACTTACAAATTTCATGAAAATTTCTTGTCTGCAGAAGTTATGAATGCAATGCATTAAAAAATTACAATGATTTGGCTACACAGAGAAAACTTTCAATATGAAAAAGAAAGAAAAGAAAAAAACTGGGTTTAGATTCTTGACTTGGAATTTCAAACATTTCTAGTAATTATGGTTCCTCTTTTTTTTTTACCACAGCGACTTCGAAGTCCTGGACGATGAAGCGGCAAACGCGATGGACGAACTCGACCAGTTTGACAAGACTCTTGAGCACAGAAGTCAGAAAAACTATGTGGTTTAACAAAGAGAACTATAGCTATACTCTGTGAACTGAGTCACATTCACGAAGCCAGCCAATGTTGTTATCATTTTATCCTTAGTAAGAGCTCTTGTGTGATGTTCTCTTCATAAGGATGTTTTATTGAAAGAATGCTCTTTATTGGCAGTTTAGAAAGACATATGAGAAGAGGACTGAGAAAAAATATGTAGTTGGACAACGAGAACTTGCTAGGCTCTGTGGACCATGTCTCTTTCAGGACACCAGCAGATATTGGTTTATCATCAGTAAGAGCACTTTGTTGGTATTCTGTTTGTAAAGACTCTTCAGGAGATATGATATATGTCTTTATGGGAAGTTTGACAAGATCCTTCTCGAAAGGTTTGACAGCTAGTAGAGTGAATGCTGCTGTATAATTTCATCCTTTGTAAGTGCGCTTTATTGGTATACCTCACAGGAGTGGAACCTCATAAGGACACTGTCGTAACACAACAAGTTACCTTTGTGTCCTATATGTTACCTGGGCAGTGTTTCTCGAAACCGTCATAAATTTAAGTTGGCCGACAAGGCGTTGAAATGCATGTATAGGATTTAACACCTGTTTAAATAGGATGTTGGTGAACTTGTACTTGGGACGGATTTTGTGAAACCAAGTTTTATGATATTTTGAAAAGAAATTTACATAAAAAGTATAATTTTACTTTGTGTTTCATCTGAACCAAGCTCTAGAAGAGGCTTGCAAATCATAAAATGTACTAAAATCTTACATTTGCCCAATAACTCGTAGTCTTGGTTATGTGCATTTAGCGTTCATTATGGCACTTCTTTATAATGTTCTTTTCCCACTTGATATAACAAGGTTTTTAATGAAACAGAGTAGTTTCCTTGGTACCAAGGTTTGGTACAATGTTGTCCCGCTGGAATATCTTCCGTCAAACCCAAACAAAGACTGCCCAAGGGAACACTAAAAATGGTCTTTATTGGCAGGTGGTCTTTATATATAGGTTCCTGTAACACGTGTTACAAGAGAAACACTTTTCAAGGAAATCCCCAATGTGGCCTTTGTAGACAGGTAGTCTTTCTCTGAAGGTTTTCGCTTCAGCGAGTTTCACTGTAATTTTGAATTCTTCAGAAGAAATTATTATTTTAACAGTTGTAGATATATATTGTAAACATGAAATTTGATGTATATATTTGTCAATACATGTATTTATGTCTTTTTTTAAATAAAAAGCTATATCTTCATTTGAGATATAAAGAATTAGGCATTCGTAATCAATTCCTTAATGATTTTATTTGATTTGATATCAAAGTTACATTGCATAGTTTTCAGTTTTTTTTAAAGGTGATCAAAAATTGCCACCTTATTCAATTTTAATTGTTGGGATTTAGTAGTTTAACAAATAGTATCCAGAGGTACTCTAGATATAGAAGTTGTCTAGCTCCCTCTCATGTGGAAAGGAATTAAACCTGGGCATTGAATATGTAGATAATCTCAGCTTTGAGATCGAGAGAGAGGGTACGTGGTGGTAGTGTATAGGGAGGAAGAGAGAGAGAGAGAGAGAGAGAGAGGTGACAGGGAGAGAGGAGGATTGATAGTAAAGATTGGAGAGAGGTAGAGGGATCGAAAGAAAGATTTTTTTTTGGATAGAGAAGGAGACCGTAAGAAAGACAGTAAAGGAAACGTGGGGGAGTTATTACAAATCGATGACCTTTCTGTATACAATAATCAATAATGCAAATAAATCATTATTTTATATATTTCCACTTCTTCAACTCATCTTTTTCCTATTTCTTGACCTAGAACTTCTTTTCTTCTTCTTCCCCTTCTTCTTCTTCTCATAATTCTCCTTCTTTTTCTTCTTCTTTTTCTCTCCTCCTCCTCCTCCTCCTCCTCCTCTTCTTCTTCTTCTTCTTCTTCTTCTTCTTCTTCTTCTTCTTCTTCTTCTTCTTCTTCTTCTTCTTCTTCTTCTTCTTCTTCTTCTTCTTCTTCTTCTCCTTCTTCTTCTTCTTCTTCTTTGTTCTTCTTCACCAACATATACACATTAACTCGTTTACATCAATAGTATTTATTATCTCTGTAGAACTACCCTCGAATGGTAAGGATAAATGTAGGCCTAGGGCGTGAAGCTTATTTTTCCTTCCAGGATCTTCCCCGTCGCAAGTTTTGATTGTGCAGGTACCGGTACCTGTTAAAATTATGATTGAAAAAAAAAGTTTGTTAACCTGATCGTTTTATGATGTCCATGTTAGGCCCAATATTATAAGAGGTGGTAAAATATGGTTCATGACTTGTGTATATAGTAGTTCGAATAATAAGGAATAAGATCTTGCCGCAAAAACATTTTCGTGGACCAGTTGCATGGGATCGCGATCCTCTATTATTTTCTCTCTTTATATCTCCTTTTCCCTTTATTTCTCTCTCCCCCCCCCCCTCTCTCTCTCTCTCTCTCTCTCTCTCTCTCTCTCTCTCTCTCTCCATCCCTTCCTCTCTCTCTCTCTCTCTTCCCCCTCTCTCTCTCTCTTTCTCATTTAATCCTTTTGTACTCTTAATCCTATTCTCCATAGTTTCGAGGCCTCTCTCTCTCTCTCTCTCTCTCTCTCTCTCTCTTTAATTAGCAACGAATCCAAGATGACTTTTCAGAAAATTAGAATTTTGACCCATAGGGATCGAGATGAATCACAAATCAATGACCTCGATCATTAATTGTGTAATGTTTTTGAAGGGGTTCTGCAGCTACATCGGGATACTCTGCACAAGTATATAGGCACATCACAACCAGATAATGTCACGCCCTCTCTCGGCCAGTTGCCATAAAGCATTTTCAAGAGCAGTCCCACCCACAGAACTCTAAAAAACGAGTTCTGTGGTCCCATGTGAGTTCTCTGGTCCCATTCAGCGGGAAACGAAGGAATTAATATATAGGTAATGTTAAACTTAAAGAAGGGGGAGGGGGGAATAAAATTTGATAGGCGGTGAATAGGCTAAAAAATAATGGCTCATTCGGGGTAGGGGGAGAAAATTTCTTCCTATTATATAGACGCCCCTGGTTAGGGCTTACAGGCCTGATACATTCTATTCATATCGAATTTCATTGATTAAAATCTATAAGAAATATAGTCATTCTGTGTTTAATAGAATAGATAATTGAGTGCAAAAGTTAAAATTACAATAACCCGGAATATGTATGATAAATCTATTCTTTAGTTTCGTTGATGATTTAATTAAGTGTAAAGATGGTTTAATGTTGATATTGTTTTGGATGCGAAAGATAGATGGACACTGATCTAACCCCAAACTTGCCACTATATCATGGCAACATAATTCATGTAAGTTAATCTCGTGTCAGTTATGTTAAGTTAAATATTAAAGTCCTATCTCCCAGCTCGATATGCTTGCCAAATAAAGCATTTGATTGAAAAGAAAATAATTGACGCTTAGAGCAAGGTATATAGTGCTATACAAAACAACATGCGTAACTTCTACGCCCTACAATCATTGTACATGCAGGCATAGTATGAAAGCTGGTACATAAGCACAGCCAAGGGCTAAAGTGAAACCGAAAGTAAAATGGCGGGAAAATTCTTATCGTTCCAACCCTTGTGGTCGGTAAAGTATCGCTATTCTTTATCTCCAATCGGTTTCCATCATCAGAGATGTGTTTCCCCAGCTGCATGCACTCTTCTTTTTTCGTAGTTGATCAAAACAAAGGAAGATGAATGAAGTCTATAAAGTTATTTTGCACAAAAACGATTTTACTGTTTGTACAGTCATGATTGTATTTTTTATAACTCCCTGGTATAACTTCAAATGATACTACATGGTGAGTTTTGCTGGTGCCCTCCCCGTGCTATGTTCTGTTTTTTTTTTACCAGGGTTATACATCATTTGAACATCGGCTTTACATGCTACCTTATTTGTATTTCTGTAACGGGAGCCCTTTGTTTACCATTGGAGGCTTGTGGTAACACCATGTAGTAGATCGAGTGAGAAATTCTTTCCTAAAAAGAACCCGCATATGGGTGTTTGGAATAGTGAGGGGAAAATGATAAATAAAACAATTTACTATTCCCTTTGAACGATACGAGCACGACTTCTGTAATAGGTCTTCCTGCGTATATATATTTCATTTGCGGATTGTTGGTAGTTATCATTTGAAATTAACTAAGGGCCACCCTTAAAATTTGTCACGTATGATGTTCCGCTTGTCATGTGACAAGTTAGTTGTTTATTCAATCACCTGTTTACTACATAATTAATCATTAATATTTTCATTCATGATGTTAAATCAGTTTAAAGGTAAAGACCAGTTATGGTCATGCGATTGCATTGTGAAAGAAACGTTGTGAAAGAAACGTGGAATCGATCAGAAAAGGTTGATCATCTAGCATCTAGCATCTGCAAGGTTCTGGAATCATCAAAGTGATAAGAAATTTGGCCCATTCTTCGTAAAGTTACAAGCACTATACACAGAAAGATGTATATGGGACTACCCTATATCTCTCACAGACCATGAGAGAAACAAATTTACCAAATATATGAATTAGTAGGCGGTTTCCCGGCAAATTTTGTATCATCATGTATTAGTCAAAACATATTCTTTCACATGATTGGTAATGAGAGCTTCCATTTCATTTTTTGAAATTGGGGTGTTTCCAATACTGGTCTTTACCTTTAAATCCAGTTTCAGTTCCATCACATTATTCATCGCACCCTACTCTAGTCTACGATTAAATCTTACCCCCCCCCCTCTCTTTCTCTCACGCGAAATATTTTCTAGTAATAAATTCTGAATCATTTATATCCATGTCTGAACAAGATGGTAAATGAACCAATAGCATCGTTCTTCGATCATAGTGCCTCACCTGATGGCCCGAATTCACAAAGGAGGTTTGTCGACAAACCTTGGTTTTCGTACGTCATTATGACGCGTTTTATACGCGTTTTTTACAAACCTGGTTTGTAAAGAACAAAAGGAGGTTTGGCGAAACAAAAGGAGGTTTGAGCTCAAACCTTGCTTTGTGAATTCGGGCCATTATGTACAGTGAAATGTCGTAACAATAGACAGTAATAACAAGTTTTCAAGATCATCCAATAAATTGTATTCATTTCTCATTATTCATAAGTTTGACGGTCCCATTCTTTTCTTCTACTCTCTGGTATTAAAAGGTTTAAATTTAACGAGGACATTTTTTGGGGTCCCTACTAGAATACAAAGCACACTTGTTGCCCGTATAGTTAAAATAATTTTATTTCTTAACTCTTTTTATTAAATGATTGTGACAATGTGATCTATTCTTGATAAACAATAAAGTTCTGAGAAGATAAAAACTTTATTCATCACATTGTCACAATCATTTTATTAATGAGATGTAAGATTTTTCCCCAACCTTTTGGGGCGACTAGTGATCATAATCATTTTTTCATCATATTCACCATAACAAGGGTTCAAAGAACTTCTTCACACTAATTGTTTCAAGGTTTTGTGGTGTAAAATAAGATTTGATTTGCTTGGAATTTTGAAATAAAATCTTTCTTTCTCAGAATCAATCTTCATCCATATATCCTCTTCTTGAATTTATCATCATCATCACCATATTCATTACTGCCATCATCATCTGCCTCCTCCTCATCATTATAATCGTAATCACCATCTATTATGATCAACGAACATCAGAATCATCATCATCATCTCTATCTTCATCTTTACTTTCACTGTCATCATCTTCAACATAGTCATTACTATCACTTCATCATCATCATCATTATTATCTCCATCTTCATCATCATTTACACCATCATTATAGCACTCTTGACATTATTTTTCTTGGACTTCAAATAGTAAAAGATGCTCTGCATAAAAGCCACATGAGAACAAAAACGAGGTACTGTTCAGTTGTGTTTTCTCAATAATATTTATTAAAAAAGAAAACATCAGAAATGTCGACACACGTCGCGATTTCCAATACATAATATATACAATAATTATATACAAGTGATCAAATTAGGATAGTAGTACGGTACAGCTTATTAACATCATGGACATCATAATCCTTTTTACCCATATTCACAAAAAAGTTCCAAGGTACCAAATTTTGTGGTTTTCTGGGATTTGTTATCAGCAGGGGATACATGTTTGTCATGCGCTACAATGATTGTGAACAGTAGAAAGGATGATTTTTAATCAAAACACTAAATGGTTCATGGTTTCTTAAACACCTCTCAATGAAAAGTACATATCTCCAAAAGATTAAGATCTATTACCATCCTATGCCACAATAAGAACATAACAGCATCTAAGATCAAACTCACTGATATAATATATGTCTCATCAGAAATTACTTGAAAACATACATATTTGGTGGGAAATGCATTTAATATAAAAAGTGTTTGTTGAATAGTTTCAATGAGTGAGAAATTCCCATGACAAGCTTTTTGTTCCAGCAAGTCAGGTATTTTGTCATCTTTTTTTGCTTTCGATTTTGGAGAAAAAAGAGGTACCTGAACCATGACAACACACAAACAAGTATTTGCCTAGTCTTTGATTCCAAACCCTTGTCCTGGGTAGCATGCATACTGATTGCTTTATATAGGGACAGGTTTATATTTAGGTGTATGATTCACAGACAAAAGTCTGCTTTAAAAAAGAAAGTACCATTTGGTACAGTGCTTCATCAATCATGACTTGCACCTCCAAAGCTGTTCTTGTCTTCGGTTTTAACAAAAATCAACTGAAGTTCTAAATCCAGTTCTAATTATGAACTTAAAATTGAAGAGTCTAATGCTCATTTATTAACCTATTAAAGACTAAGCCTTATTACCTACGGTAGACAAGAAGATCAAAATCCAAAAACGATTGGAAAACATATCTCTCTCTGTACAGTGTTGTTTGGTCCTTTGACCGCTCCCCCAGTAGTAAGATTAGTCTGGATAGGGCGTTTCCAGTCACATGACCAGATTAAGGGATTAGTAACCGAAACGTACAGGTAGTAATTAAAGAACTTGGGGATAGGATTAGATAAAGAGGAAATATGACTTGGCAAAATGTGGGATTAGTGTTCGAGGACCGGATGATACTGGTAACAATTACATAACATGGGGTGAGGATTAGATAATGAGGATATATGCCTTTGCAAAATGTGGGTTTAGTGTTGATTGGTCGAACTCGGGATGATATCGACATCAAAATGGGTGTGGCCTAAATGAAGGTCAAATGTATAGAAAATGGCATGACAATGTTGTTACCATAACCACTGGAGGAGTCAGCTTGTTAGTACCAATATACAACAATATCCTAGAGAAAACAACAAAATGGAGTCCAGTCCAAGCTGTGATGTAAATTTTAGGGGTGTTCCATACATAAACATTAGAGACTATGACAGTTGACCCCACACGTTGTCCAGCAACCACGAATACATGATTGTATGGCGCCATCTGTATGCGATACTGCAAAGCCTTAGCTGGATAGAGGAATGGGTGTTGTGGGTGACATTAAGCGTGTCCTCTCATATGAAGAAGGAGAGTTATTCGTCATTGATGATGACGAAGAGGAGGAGGAGGAGGAGGAGGTGGAGGAGAGGAGGAGGAGAGCAACGGCATGGTGGATGAGGAGATTGGGGAGAAGGAGCAAAGCAAAGTAGAAAACTCAATACCGGTATGTCCTGTACTAATGGTTAAAAAAGCTTTAGCGAGCAGCATAAACAGACTTGTCATTGAAATGTGCGAGGGATGCCAAAATGACTGTCCGGCTCAAAAGGATCACGGGGATTGCCTTTGGATGTTATGGCAGGAGCGGGTTGATAAATATTTCAAAAGAGCAGTGTTAGGACTAAAACAACAACAATTCATGGATTTGTTTGATGTCGTATATAATAGCGCATTGATGTTTGAATGCGCACAGGATTACTGTGTGGCCGAAGAGGTGGAATTTTTTCAGTACACGCTAAAAAAGGCACACATGTATTGAAACACGTCAAGTCTAAATTGTTGACAAAGTAAATGAGCTTTAGGTAGCATCCCTCCCATATAATTTTTATAATAAAGAAAATGACGACCATTTAAAAGCATTCAACGATATACAAGGACCTTCTATGAGTTATGCTGCAGGACCGTCTACGAGTTATGTCTCGGGACCCTCTACAAGCCATGCAGTGGGACCAACTGGAGAAAAATGTTGGCAGTTCATCAATGCATCAAAAGAGGAATCGGGTGGAGGAGGGAGGAGGAGGAGGAGGAGGAGGAGAATCCATTGCCAGTGAGGGTTGGTGGATAAATGATGTACAATGTTACTAAAGTCAGTGAAAAGTACAAGAAGTACAAAACGAAGGTTAGAGACTATTCTGTGTCATTTCAACCCAAAGAGAATAATGGTCCTCAGATCGACATGATTCCTCAAATAAATGGTATGTTTGAAGATATGTTGGTGGGTGCCAAAGATAACGATATGGTTAGATTAGCTTTCAATGCTCCACAGTTGGACAAACCAATGAGTTTACCTTTTATAAGGCGTGATCAATTAAAGAACGAGGCATTTGTTTCAAAGTTGGAATCTGTGTTGCAATCTCACAAAGAAATTATGATGGATGAAAATGTGAGTTTTAACATAATTCATATGGACATGCCGCAAGGAGGTTTAAGACCTCAAAAAAGAGTAGATTTAAACGAGAGAATTCTTAACATGAAAGGTGTGATCACAATAAGAAATAAAGACAATATGTATTGTCCAAGGGCAATCGCTACCGGTATCGCACGCATTGAGAAACATCCCAATTATGCGTCAAATCGTCATGGTCATAAAGAGCAGAGAACCTACGCGGATGAATTGTATAGGTAAGCAGGGATTCCCATCGATACCCCAAACAGAATCGAACACATTAAATTGTTTGAAAACACTCCGTTCACTTCAAGATGAATTACAGAGTAGCGGTTGTATCAAAAGAGAATCTTAATTTGTTCGTATATGCAGGTCTAAAAGACAGAGATCACACAATCTATTTGCTGTCGCACAACAACGTACCACTCTGATTTGATTACATCGATACCTGCCTAGTATCGAAGATCATATTTTTGTGAAACATGTCTGGTAAATATGCACACAAGTGTGTCAACGCGTGCAAACTGTGTAACGGTAACGATCGCCCCGAGACGGCTCAATTTGACGATAACATTCACTGTCAGGCTGTAATAGAAGATTTAAGAACGTACATTATGTAGATACTCTAAGGGTATTTCTTCTTTACTGTATGTGGGATTTTCCTAGGACTCATGAACCCATGTCCCTTCCCCTTCCTTCCCTCTTACACTTTCCCCTTCCCCTTCTCCATCTCCTTCCCCCTCCCTAACGTCCAGGCATCTTGTGTTCTTGTCATCCACCTCCTTAGAAAGCTAGTTTCTTCATGAGCAGATAGACGTGTTGGTTGAGCTCCACCCCATGCAAGTTATTAGCGTCACCTTGCAGCCTCATCAATAGCCCTCCGTATGACATATAGGCAGACCTGGAGAGAGAGAGAGAGAGAGAGAATAAAGATTAATCATCAAATACATTTTTCTCTAAACAAATTGATTACTAAATTCTTCACATTTAACACTAGAAAAATCCACTGTGGGCCTCCTTCCATCTTGTAACAGCTGGTATGCTATACATATCATGCAGATTACAACAAAATAAATGTTTCAAAATTGCCATCATCTCAAACTTGCAGAAAAAAAAACCCATCATATTCTGACAGAGGGGTCAAAGTTCAGAAGAATTCTCTGAAAAATCAATAACCTCTGCTTCCAAGAAAGAGCTCTATATGGCTGATAAAACCTAGAGCGACAGGTCAAATAGGGTCACCATAGAAAGAGGCTTGAAACACGGATAGTCTAGAAAGGGGGAGTGTCTCGAGTCAGAAAGAAAATTTGAGAAGCTGTGACGTACATGTAGAACCAACTTCATAACGACACACACAATTAAACTTTGCCTTATCTCATCCTCCCTCCTCCTCACCCTAAATCCGTTTTATCCCTCACAAGAGAAATAGATGACTCGCAGTGATGCAGATCCAGTCATATTTCGCCTTAACTATCCCATCATCATCAATACCCCATTCTTAATCCGAAATACCACCCATCACACCCCTCTCTCTCCCCTTCTCATCCCATCTATACCCCCCTCTCATCCCTATGTCGCAGTTAAAGCAAATAGATGATTTGGAGTGATGCAGAACCAGTCATATTTCAACGTAACTATCCAATTATCATCAATACCCCCATTTTAATCCCAAATACCACCCCATCTCACCCTCTCTCACCCTCTCTCTCCCATTCTCATCCCATCTATACCCCCCTTCTCATCCCATCAATACCCCCCTTCTCATCCCATCAATACCCCCTCTCATCCCTAAGTCATCGTTGGAGCAAATAGATGATTTGGAGTGATGCAGACCCAGTCATCTTTGGTGACTAATGCATGCCACCTACAACAAATTATTTCTCTCCTAATTTAGCCTCGGTGCACGGACTCCTCTCACTCGTTCATTCACTCACACACAGATTTATCACTATTATAATGTATGACTCAACATGACATAAGCACATCCGATCAGGAGAAGAAGACCTTAAGATGAAAACATAAATAGGATGAAGAAGATTGTGAGAAGCGAAGCATGGATAAAGATTATAGATGGAGTCTCTGGGTAATATGACTGGAGCAGAGGCAAGTTTGGGAGCACTAGGGGAGCAAGGATGAATTTTGAGATCTAGACAGGGGGCAGTTACAATGGGAAAGAGGAGATTAGAAGACAATCGAGAGGGGTTAATGGGACTGGGAGAGGGTCCAGGTGGGTTCAACAATTCTAGAGGGGGGGTAATAACAGGACTGACTGTGATGCAACATGAGTACATGGGGGATATAAGGAAGGGTGTAAGATCTCGCCAGGGGTGATAATGGGACTGCGATGGGGGGGTAAGAGATGGTTACAGATCTACAAAGGGTAAGGAAGAAGCCGGGAGAGGGGTACAGGCGGGGTAAGGTTGGCTATCAGAAGAGAGGGTTATATTAATGAAATAGCGAGTAGGGTAGAGGTGTGTTCAATACTTACAAAGGGGTAATTAAGGGAATGGGAGCGGGCTATAGATGGATGAACAGGGGAACTGAAGTGGGGGTCCTGGTGGGTTCAAGATCTAAAGAAGTTAAGTTTAAGTTAGCATCCCCCCCCCCCCTCCCAAAAAAAAGGGAGGGGATAGAGGGAGAAAGTGGGTGGATGATGAGATGAAAACCAAACGAGATTGTTAAAACAGAGCAAGAGGAGGGATGAGCAGGTGACTAGCAGACACTGGGCTAAACAGGTCAAAGCCTGACAAAGGAAATAGAGACACCAGAAGCTCATGACGTCATCAGGAATGACTGTAACTCTCTCTCTCTCTCCCCCTCCCTTCTTATTACTGATTTTTTCTCTTCTCTCTCTACCTCCTCTCTCTCTCTCTCTCTCCCCCTCCCTTCTCATTACTGATTTTTTTCTCTTCTCTCTCTCTCTCTCTCTCTCTCTCATATTACAAAAGCTGATGAACATTTTCAGAGGTGAAACCGTAACAAGTTCACTCCAATCTAGTCTTACTCCCAGACATTTTTTGTTTTGTTCCTCTGAGATAAAATCTCAGTCTATCTAAAAAGTGTTCAACCTATACCTTCCTCGTACATTGATACATAGGTATATTCTCCCCCATTTCCCCTTCCCCATCAAGTATCATACCTTCTACCAGTATTGTCAGAACATTCTTGTTCAAGAAAATCAATACATAATCCTACAAATTTATGAAGGGTGAGATAAAACAATCACACACAAGAAGAAGAAGAAGACTACAACAACAACAACAACAAGTTAAACATCGAGTCTAGACATTGCTAGGATCAGTCCGCCGGCATCGCTTCTTGACATTTAGGATTGAATAGTGTTCATAGTTGAAGCCTCATGTAAGTGGTAGGGGTGCAACCATCTATTATTAGGATCATCATCATCATGATTCATCTCCGATGGGAGACACAGGAGAAGAGAAAAACAACCCTAGATCAAACTTACTTTTCATACAGATAGATCATTAAGAGAAATTGGACATATCATATGTTGATTCTAAAGTAATATTAAAACTAAACATAATCTATAATTATATTTAAATATTTATGCATGTTATCCATGATTTTGTGTCTGAATGAAGATTTGTTTCAACAAAAAACAAAAAACAAAAAAAATTATGTTTATTGTGATTTATGATAATGATGCATGTAGGAGCTTGTATTGAAAATGGTAAAGGGTGGGATGGGGAATAAATAAAGAGATAGTAATACAGACACACAGATGGAAGGGGCATGCAAGTGTGCTTGTGAGACGGAATGAAAGACAGACTAATATGGAAAGATAAAGGATATAGATAGATAGATTGATAGATAGAGGGAAGGACAGAAAGGGTAAGAGAGAGAGACAGATGAAGAGAGAGAGAGAGAGAGAGAGGGGGGGGGGGGGGAGATAGGGAGAAGACCTTTGAAATAAGGTGGCCTGAGTAAGTAAGAGAGAGAGAGAGAGAGAGAGAGAGAGAGATACATAAACCGGGCAAGATGTATGAACCATTACAGAATCAGTCATGTCTAGATTTCATATGCCCCCATTTCTTAACAGACCACCCCATCTCTCCGGACAAACGAGCTTCATAGCTCTATGATGATGTCACACCAACCCTCTTTATATCTATGATGTCATTACCAGTCATCCTCCAAGACTAAGGGTCTTTCACACTAGAATCAATCCCCTATCTGCCCTGTTCACACTACAATTAAAACCCTATCTGGACTCTGGCTAATGTGTAAGGAATGCTGCTCTCCCATCCAATTCCAAAATTGTTTGTTTTTTAGTGCTTTTGTATATGGGCCACATATGATTAGGGTAGGCCAACATATCTATTTGAAATCATTAGGGCTTTTTTTTTTTTTTTTAAAGAGGTGATGTATTCATATTTTTCCCTCCTCTCAGGTATTTTTTGCTTTTCAATGTTGATCATCCTAGCATAAAATCTAGTCTTGTGTGGACAGATTTCTACTTCTAGTGTGTAACAGGATAGCTAGCATCACACATCTTTCCTCATTACTTTAACAATTACAATAACTCTCCTTGGCCTCTCCTCTACTACCACCATCAGAAATACATTAATGCTTTCATGATCAGTCCCATGCATTGTGATTCATGTCGGGCAACAATGACCATCTCTCTGAAGTCGTTTCCATGACGACTGGTTTCTAGATCAGAAGAGCGTCAGTGTATTTACCGGTAGTGTGTGAGTCACATCAGTGACACATAGCACTATGATAGGAAAGGGATTAGAAACTTCTTTAGATTCGAGAAATATAGCTGACCATCTAGTGCCTCTTTGAGTCATTTTCTCAAGAGTAGAAACAGTGAATATCAAATTGATGACATTATATATGTGTAAAAAGTGTTTCCACATGAAAATTATTATTTTATTTCCCAATAATAATACACACTACCGGTAATCTTTTTTTCAATCTTCTTCCTTATGATACAAATTATAAATCTAATGTTGGCATAGTCTCTAATTTCAGACACGCTGTGACCATGTCCATGCTCTGATGCACTCTAATTGACAAGGGTCTGTACCTGGAGACTACTAAAGTACTAACCCCCCCCCCCCCCCCCCCCCCCTGTGTATAGATACCACTGGCAGGTATGCCACAAGGAGCTGAAATTGAATGTATATGATGACATGTTGAGACATGTCTTCTCATATAAAATGATAAACAACAATGTCAATGGAATTGATTGAACTGATTGTAAATGCACATGTGGATGACTTGAGGGTTTGTAGGTGTTAATTTAAAACTTCACTTATCTATCCTAAAAATCTCATTTGAGGACTTTAGGGCCTACTATATGCCACTAAAGAAGGGACAAAGTGGAAAAGTTTGTAATCTGAATTGCCGGTAACATTTCCGTGATCAAATAAAGAATTACAGATATATATAGTTTTGTTTGAGTGGAATAAGATACTAGCTGCTGAAGTCAGAGAAGGCTATAGACCATAGCGATACATGTATGTTGTAGAATCTATGCTGGTTGTATGATTATGTAGAGGATCTGCTCTTTTTGATGTTCCTTTGACGATATTGATCTCCTGAAGATTTCAAGACTCCTTCCTGGGGCCCTGCAGCAAGCTGGTTGGTGATTGGTCGAAAACAACCAGCTAACTACACTGCCGAAGGAAGGCAGCCAATCAGGTGCCTCGTATCTTCTGCTTGTAGTCTCCTGCCATTGTTCAGTTACAGATGAACAGAGATAATTCTGAAGCTCTCACATTATAGCTCAATATGATACTGTAATTCAGTTTGAAGAGCAAAGCAACAAAAAAAGAAGAAGATATAAAACCATTGTGATGGAAGAGAAAATATACAGTATATTTTCACTTTGAAGTATTAGCTAGGCAAAGTAGTCAATAAAACAGATGGACATCATCAAAAAAAATGATGGGACAAACAATTAATAAAGTAAGCATTAGGAAAAAATAAAAGCCCTAAAAGGACAAATGGGCATCTCACCATTATTGCAGTAAGATAACTAAGAGGCTGTTCGAATATATTCCACAGTATTCAGGCCAATAGAAAAGAGAATATATTTTTGAAAACTCACGCTTTACTAAATGCCTAGCAGCCACCCTGTCTTCTTGCTGGCAAAACTTATGAATGAAATCTCATGCCATTTGAAGCATGCTTTTATAGAGCTCCACAAAGAATAGATTAGTCATAACGTCCATGTGTTTTGTGCATACAGAACTTGTAGATACTTGCCTCTACAGGCCTCATATGATAGTCTTTAAATACAGACCCTTCAGCTTGCTTTGTCATTGACAATATGACAAATACCGGTAATATGAAAAATAAAATAACGGATAGGGAAACGCTGAAGGAAATATCAGTTTGTGCATACAGAACTTGTAGATACTTGCCTATACAGGCCTCATATGATAGTCTTTAAATACAGACCCTTTAGCTTGCTTTGTCATTGACTATTTGACATAAAAATATGAAAAATAAAATAACGGATAGGGAAACGCTGAAGGAAATATCAGTTTGTGCATACAGAACTTGTAGATACTTGCCTCCACAGGCCTCATATGATAGTCTTTAAATACAGACCCATTAGCTTGCTTTGTCATTGACAATATGACAAATAATATGAAAAATGAAATAACGGATAGGGAAACGCTGAAGGAAATATCAGTTTGTGCATACAGAACTTGTAGATACTTGCCTCCACAGGCCTCATATGATAGTCTTTAACTACAGACTCTTTGGCTTGCCTCGTCATTGACAGTACGACAAATTATATGGAAAATAGAAAAACAGATAGGGAAACGCTGAAGGAAATATCAATTTCAAGAAGTAAAAGAGGACAAATGTGATATGGAAAAGGAAACTCTTAAAAAGGACAAAAAGTATGAAAGAAGTGTGAAACATGTGGAGAAGGAACAGGGTGGAAACAAAGCTATGAAGGAGGAATAATAGAGTAGAAAAGATTTTGAGAGAGAGGAAGTTATGCATTTTGCCTTTTGTCATATAATTCATTTCTTGCAATGAAGGAATCTAATTTTTAAATTCAATTAATAAAAAAATGTAAAAAATGTCCCTTCCAAATTCTGAAAATACAATATACCCACCCAGTGGCCAATGGTGTTCAAATAAAAGTTGAAATTTAAAAATTCATGACCATTTTATGTCCTGTTCAGGAGCTTTTGGTACAGATAGAATTTAGAAAACTTGATTTAAAGTATGGTGGCAAAATATTCATTATTAGCAAAATGACAGTCATTTTTCTTTTCAAATCGACTTTGGAAATGGTAATGTTTTATTAACCCCATTTGTCGGGTACACAATGAGAGCTTCAATTTGCACAGAGAAAACCACAGAGTCTTTTGATCGAAATATTGCACATACTTTCATGTACTCATCTAGGTGCAATGGTTAATTTGGACATTATTTTTCTGAGGGCTTGCAAATTCCTGATCTAGGGGCTTTACCATTAGCTCAATCATTCTTATGAGGCAGGTACATTGTGTAGGCCCTTAAAGGTTGTAGGGTCTTTGATCTGATAATGGCACGTGCAAGAATTCTTTACTCTTCAGTAACATGTCAGCTGAGACAAATGAACAAAGGTCTATGATTATGATGGCAAGCATTTTATTGGGTTGGACTTTAAAGGCAACCTACTGGCTTTTTTTTATCTAACATGCTAGCACGGACCCTTATAAGCTTCAACAATTTCAATATGGGACTCAGACCCTAAAATTTTAAAATTTCAATCCAACCCCCCCCCTCCCCCCCCCCCCCCCCCCCCCCCCCCCCCCCCCCCCCCCAATGAATTGATTTAGAATTTAAGTTCACTGGCCAGATAAAGCTTTACAGATACACGTTAATTCAGATGGCAGTATGCTTTTACAATGGACCTAACCAGACTTTTACTCATACAAAATTTAATAAACCAATTGATAAGCACCCCCCCCCCCCCTGGACAGTAATTATTCAGAGCCACTTATGGGTCTAGCAATTAAATATGGGTCATTCAGGATTTGTTTATATATATATACTGCATTTCTATATACCGTTCAGTTCAAATAAGAACAATGCTACATGTACACGTCGGTCTTTAGCACATGATTATCAAACACCATAAAAGCATGCCAATATGAGGCTTTGTAGTAGTCAGAGGTTTAAAGGGCGAGATGTGGCAAAATGAAACTATAATCAAAATACCAAATAATTCGATGTCAAGGTTAAAAATTGCTTCATACAACTTTAGGAACATCAAGGGTGCAAGGATTAATCAAATATAACAATGAAGGACCTCCCTTTGTTCCAGTTTGAGGGAATATACATAATTTTTAATAAATTGGCAACAACTTTTGCATTGTTCCAACGCAGCTCATCACAGTTATCTATTATTGCAAGGTCAATGACATACATGTAGAAAGGGTGAGAGCTATTTCACTACCACACAGGGAGGATATGGGGCAGACAAAGCGGAAGACCAACAGAATTCTAGAGATGTCTTATACTGGGGTAGGGAATACGCAGGTCTATTTGAGTAGAGATGAAAGGAAGGAAGGAAACAAAGGTCAGGGGAAAATATAAGAAAATGACATATGAGAAAGGAGAATGAGAGAGAAGAAAAGAGAGATAGATATATAGATAGAGAAGGAAGGAGAGGGAGAGAAGGGGGTGGAGAGGAAGAGATAGAAAGAGACAGAGAAGAGGCAAGGAAAAGTAACATCGTAAAGTTCTTGGAACAAAGAATGAACTTAAAATTATATGAGAGAGAGAGAGAGAGAGAGGGGGAGAGAGAGAGAGAGAGAGGGAGAGAGAAAGAGAGAGAGAGAGAGAGAGAGAAGGGGGGGGGGGGAGTGGGGGGAGAGGGGATGATGAAGTGAGAAAAACCAACCCTGTTCAATTCTGGAAAACAAAGAAAAAAACAGGGAAATAGCAAAGAAAGAAAAGGTGTTTGGGAGATAGTAAGCCAAGATTGAAACAAAATCTTAGAGGGACAGGAGGAAATCTTGGCAAGAAACAAAGAATATTTCCCCCCTAACTGGATGAAATGGGACACCAGCTGTGTGGAAATTGAAATACATGAAAGGGTATCCTTATCTGAACCTCCCAACCCGGCCTGTGTTATGAGGAAGCCGAGCCAACAGGAAATATTCACCTTGATTAAGATCTCTAAGGGATTTGGGAAATATTGCTCCTGAAAGTTCTGAATGAAATCATATCAATTCAGTCGCTTTCTACTATATCAATCATTAAGCCCTGTTTACATTAGAGGCAGATATCTTTATGGAACACACCCAAGCAATTTTATTGCTGTTTCCATTTCCTTTGTTCAGAATTTGTCCAAATTCCTGTTTGTAATACCAGTTTCACTTTGTCTTTACCTCCAGAAGGTATGATCTACAAAGGAGCTGGCCCAAACTTGATCTTAAAAAAGAAGTTGTATTTATCAAGTTTATATATTTTCAGGGGGGGGGGGGTGTTTCACAAAGATCCTAAGTTGAACTTATCTCTAAGTTGAACTTAACAATTATGGAAAGCCATTGGTATCTTTGGAAATATTTTGTAAATATTATTTTTAAAGGCATAAAATGTTGATTCAACCATTCATATTTTCTATTATCAAGGAGATTTCTTGTTCTTGATGTGGAATTTATAAAAAGTCTAAAATACTTGAGTTTTCACTTTTAAATATGTTTGATTTTAAGGCTACAAATGGCTCTCCATAATTTTCTAAGTCCAACTTAGAGTTAAGTTCGACTTAGGATCTTTGTGAAACACCCCCTGGTCTTGCAGACTGTTCAATCTGGGGAAATCAGGGTCTGCTGCCCTTTAAACTTGTCTCCCTACAAACTAGGGGGTAATGCGAACAGGGCCAGGCGAAGTGAGATCAGGGAGATCTCAAGGTGGGAATTCTACGGACTGACAACAGGAAATCGCTGATCAAGATCCGGTGACGTTTTAGATGAATTTATTGCTTTTAAATCACCCCCTCCCAATCACAAAAAGACAGAAAAGGGAAGTAATCGTGTAAGAGAGCTTAAATGGGTGTTTTATCAGAGACAAACTTGAATGGCTACTGCTGTGAGACACAAGGAGGAAGAGCATTGTTTGAAGACAAAGGGGTGGACGTTGATAACTTCTAGAAGAAACTCTAGAAACTCTTTTAAAGGAAAAAGTGGTACTGTTCTGATAAATTGGGCAATTTCAAAATAGATCAGTACAGTATGTCTTCAAATTCTTGACAAAAATCTTAATCAAGTTCTGGTGCAGATTTGTAGAAACTCAAAGCAGGGAATTTGCATTGCAGCCCTGTGCACTGTCATAGTACAGTCAAACTTGTCGTAGTGGCCACCTCTCTATAAAGGCCACCTGTCTATTATAGTGGCCATGCATTTTGTCTCCCCAAGAAAGAAATGTGTTTTCCAGAACCTGTCTAGAAAGGCCATCGGTCTGCAGTGGCTACTATTTCTGTTTCCCTTGGCTGGCCTTTATAGACAGGTTTGACTTTGACTTTACATTGACTATGAAATACACTTATAAACCCCTGTAACTGGATAAAAGAAAACAGCTCGGAGACATTTCCACTATGGATTGCACAAGCATCAAGTGGGAGTATTTTTGAGGAAGTCGAAGTGCAAGAGTTGATCTATCATCGAGCCTAATAAAAACCAGCAGATGTATTCACAGATCTGTACATCACACATGAGAATAACACCTGTTGGTCTTATCAGTCTGATGAATAACAGGTCCATACCTCAATACATCCCAAATATATTGAATACATGAATATATGAATATATGAATAAATGAATATATATACATGTATGAATACAGGAACACTATCATACCTGACAAAAAAAAAAGCATGAAAGCTCAGAAAAATCTGAAAGGCATGAATTCAGTAGCTTCTATTCATGTACATGTACATGTAGAAGTGCATCATGCATCATGCCCTTTGCAGGTGCTTCATAGCATGGACCTACTGCATGCTCAAAGGCCAAAATTATTTCTTTTCTAAAATAAATGTTATGTTATGGGAGGGGGCTAGTTTTCCAATTTTGAGAATTGAGATTCTGTCCCCTCACATGGAAAAATCAGTGGCTACATGTACAATAGTACAGTTTCAGGAGTTGTGATGCACAACATAGTTCCAGATTTTAAAAATCTAAGCAAAACCAGGGGAACATATATTGTGTCTTTACAGGAGCTCACTATGCCACCCCCCCCCCCCCCTACCACTCCCCTTTCCCAATGGCTACACCAAGCTTGGGAACACCCTACTGCCTTTCCATTGAGTAACACCAGTCAGGTCACATGACCCAGAAGGGGACTCCCCTGCCAGACATTACATCATACAATGGAATGCTTTATCAGCTACAGAGGGTGTGAGACTCAAAGGTTGATGCACTACCTAGTCTCTCACATCAGACATTGTGTTGTATCCAGCTATAATGCACAATGCAGGAGGCTGAATTAATAAGAGAAACAGATTACATGCACATTCATACATAGTATGGTGATGTGTGATATAACTGTTGGCTATTCTTGGCACTACCGTAGCCAAATTGGTTCAGAATTGGCACATTGCACCATGCATATGGTTGCATCACTCACATGAGTCCATATAAAGTCTGAGATTGTAGACTAGATCTAGCACATGCACTGAATAGCTACTTGAACTACAAACAGTAGTCTCTCATTATCAGACCAACGTGGATCATAATTGTGCACTATTTATCAGCTGAACTATAAGATGACCTTGAAAGTACGAGGCAAGGCCAATCAAACCCGTGATGCACATATCTCGCTCTTTATCAAAGAATTCTTCTCTCATTTAGCCGGGTGCCCAACGACACGTGTGCGGTGTTTCTAAACCCACACAGCTAAATAATAACAAAGAAATATATTTTTCTAGAGTAAATACGGAATGAAAACCAGAACCAAACGATCATTTTGCAGGTGCTTGTAAATTAACATGCAGGTGTCTTCTACTGAAAGTCATTGATATTCCTTTGCATGATGTTCTTTGAATATCTTAAGAAGATGTTCCTCTTTATTACAGAATACATGCTTTATCATTAACTTGCCTCAGAGTTTCCAAGCCTGATTCTCTTGCTCTTGGATGTTTCTCGAAACAGTCATAAGTGTAACTTCTACGACATCTCATTGAAACGTGTTATAGAATTAACATGCATTTCTATGGGATGTCCACAAACTTAGACTGATGATGGTTTCAAGAAACTGGACCCAGGCTCAAGATATATTATGTGCTACTGCATGGCAGAGCCAATTAATATTTCATCATTGTTTATTAATTAGTAATGTTTTACTTCTATAAAGAGTTTAATAATTAGAGTCTTATTTCAGCTCATACTTCCCAATTTGCAAGTGCAACATGCATTTTTGTAATCCAACCTCGAGTTATAAAGAAATAATGTATATTTTTTTAATTGTGTGAGTCAGAATTGCAGCTGAAATCACATGAAACTAAAAGGCCAGCTGCAGAGTATTTCAATACAGGTACCGGTATGGTGTTTGATTAGGTCATGGTTCCTATCTAGAGTAGATACAGTACAGCTGGAGTTCACCTCTATGCAAATCATTCACTATCACAAATGAAACCAACAGTACCCATTTTTAATAAGCCCTCCCTTCCCCCAAAAAGGGGCATCGATGGCGAGGAGTGTTGTATTTGATCAGTGGTTTGGTTTTTTGGAAACTTTTGGTTTAGAGTGGCACTATGGATTTGATCACAATCAAGAAATGAGTACTGCACTAGAAGGTAGAACAAGCATGCTTATTTCTAATAGAAACCTCCTCTATTGGTAAGGGTTGATTAAATTATACTTAAAAATGATTGTTTGCTGAAGAAAAAAAGGAGCCCTACTTTTATAGTACCAGCTGCAGTTACTGGTACTAAACTAAATGAAAAATAAATAAATCTATTTAGAAAGAAAAACTTCCAGCCAGTTCCAGGAATAAATAAGGGGAAAATTATGTCATATACACATAGGCCAATGATTTTGAGTTGTTGGGAAGTTTTGGCTTCCATGATAGTTGCTGGCATACAAGCCAAACTCCCTGCTGTATTGCAGCAAGTGTACCTCAAAATAAAACTACTATAAGTACCCCCTATTAAGTTCTAGAACAGTATGCTTTACAGAATTATAATTGCATTATGTGAGATAATTAGGAGGAAGTGCCTAGAAGTATTGTTGGCTGGCTTGTGTATGAATGGTGTGCTGAAAACTACAGCCAAGAAATGAAATCATCATTATCTCACCTTTTTTAAAAAGACAGTCTCTTTTTAATGAGTCTCTTTATAAAACAAAAAATTAGATTACAGTAGAATTAAATCTTGGAAAACAAACTTACAATTTGGTTGCAGCTTCTGTCAGACTCTCATCGCCCTCTATCCGATACACCTTGCCGAACATCACATACTCGAAGCTATCGGCACGGCTTGGCTGACCATCATCGAGTGGTGTGTAGTCAGGTTCGTCGGGAAAACCATCTTCACGTAACGTCGTCGCCAAAACTAGACGGAATTTATCACCTAAGAGAGGAACGAGAAGGAGATGAATGAAAGTCGTTAATGTTTTCCTGGAACTGATTAAATTTTTATGTCACAGCTGACATTAAAATACTGGTCTTTTATTCCCTCTGTTAGAAATTTTCCAGAATTTTTTTTTTTTTTTCACATCACAATCAAGTAAAATACGACCAAGAAATTCATGGAATGTAGGAGAAATATAATGATTGAAGTAAAAATAGAAATTAAAAAAAGAAAACAAAAACATTGAAGTAAGGACAATTCTGAAACTCAAAAGATGCCAGAAACATTAACATATAACTTCTTTCCTTATGATCAAAAGGAAAATTGCTTGAATAGAAAATGGGTAACTTTGTAGAAAAATCAGATGAAAAAGGAGAATATACATGTATCTCTCAAAAGTACAGAAATGAGATTTATAGTGTCACCTTTAGAATACAAAAATTAATACTAAAGAGTTGCACTCTGTGTTACCGGTATATGTTTCACATTTTCGGGGAACAAAGAAGTCAAAATTGTTCACATTCCAAAGACAAACTGCCGCTACCGGTTACGTGCATACACCTACACAAATCACCGTGACGACAATGCACCATAACAGAAAACTACAATAGATGCATTCCTTAAATATTGTAGTATGAATAGAAACTTTGATGGTTCTTCTAATAGGGTTGTATGATTAGGAAGAGGAATGGGTTTTATTAAACAAGTATTTTTTGTGTGTAATGTGACGAGGAACCAAACACTAACAGTGTGATTTCTACAAACATTCAGGCCCTACCTATTCTATTCTCCTTTTTTCACAGGGGGACCTGCTTGCAATTCTTTTTATCGTAAGCGACTAAGCATATCAAACTTATATCATTAAAAAAAAAGGAAAAAAAGGAAACAAAGGAAAAGATTTTAAAACTTCTTTAAAATGTTGATCACAGATATTATCCAAAGACAATAATTTGGTGGATGACTTTAAATGTTTGCAGTTTTGCACCACGGAAATAAAAAAAGAGACAGAACTGTTTGATTAAAATAATGATGGCAGGACATGTTCATGGAAGAAGAGCTCAGCACCGGTAAAAATTATAAACAGAAAGAAAAAAAGAGAAAAAGAAGAAAAAGAAGAAGTAGAAGAAGGAGAAGAGGGACAAGAATGGAAAAGCAGAGCTTTGTTCCTTGAACAAAATGTTATAAAGTAATCCTCTGACTAAAAAAGATGAAATCATAAAATTTAAAAAAAAATCACAATTCAAATATAGATCAAAGGACTTTCAAAACTCTTTCCATTATTATCTCATATTGCTCTATCAAGGGAATCTCTCATCAAGAATACCTAATTATGCATGCAATGTTGGCTAAGGTAAAGCTTCATTACCAATTCTACATAAAGAGACCATGCATTAAATCATGTAGTATGCCTTCATATTACTTGGTCTGCCTACCCTTACTGGTATACATGATATATAATGTTTAAAAGAGTGAGCTGCTATATAAATTTGCGGTTAGAATCTACCCCTATCTTCAGATATGGATGAGGTCATTTGGAACGCGTATTATTTGTGCTGGTATGAGATCTCCTCTTTCCAGTGAAGCTAGTATAGACGAGTACCCCTATATATTGTAGCTTATCAAGGATATCTGATGAGTAAGCCATTTGGTAACTATCAGATATCCTTTGACAAAGAAAGATTGGCACAAAAAAAAGGGAATAGAGGTGTAAGGGGAACCAGAAAAGAAATGGAGCGAGGGGTACCCTTCATATCGTGGATTATGGTGAGGGGTGCCCCTCATATGCTGGATTATGGTAATATACTTCCCTTTTCTTTTGTCTTTAGCGAAGGCTTGACATTAACAGGTACCCTGGAAATATGGGTGCCCAAAGTTGAGACCCCTAAATTTGGAAGTTTTTACATAAGACTGGTACATACTGATTACTGAATGTAAAAAAAAGTTAAGTCTGGACACGCTTCAAAAAATTTATTTGGAGCGACGCTTTGATTGTCGCATAAGCTTTCAAACATTGAAGAGCAATAGCACATTGTGTTATCCTAGTTGCCTACATGTGCAAATAATAAATTTAACCATCACTTTAAAAAAAAAATGGTTTGTCCCTTCTGCATAGTGAAAAAACCTTAATTTCCATGAATCCAATAGCATATATTGAACAGGTCTATTTTTGAATAATGCAATATCATCGTTCTAGGCCTAGAACTATAGTCATTTAGATGTGGTATGAGGGTCTCACCTTAAAAAAACAATAAATCAATAAATAATCAGAAAAAAACATTAAAATAAAGAAGTAGTTCTAGTATTATAGTATAGTGTAATAACTGATCACTGCAAATATAAAAAGCTATCATCTGACATCACAAGACCAGTTTCATCGAACAAGCATTCAAGAAACATTACATTTACACAAGAGAACAAGATCTATGATCTAGACGATGTAGGCCTAGATCTAGACATAAAATTTCTAGTCTAGATTGATCATTAATTAACTTTAAGCAGATCCTTCATTCATAATTGTTTGATTCAGAAGTTTTATTCCATAAAATAAAGGACCTTTCAAGAATAGAATTGTGGAATTTCATTAAATTAACAAGAAAAATTCTTTAAAATAAACTATCAACATAAAAAGTAATCACATTGTAATTTAAATATGTGCAGAGTTGAAATAAAACCTCTAATAATTCCACAGAAAAGCAGAAAAGAGAGTATATTACAATCCTGATGGTATCAAAAATAATGTTTTTAAAAAATGCAGACAAGCATGACTCCACGAGTGAAAAGAGATTGACCTCCAAGAGTAAAAACAGATCAAATCGATTGAACAAACAAGTATTGGGACATAAAAACAAGTGATTGTGCAATCTAACTTACCATTGAGACCTGGTGAATATATTGCATCATGTTGGCAGGATTGCTATTATAATATGTGATCCAAAGTGAGGCAGAAATCCTCTGGAATAGACAACGAAGGTAGCCATTTTCAAGCAAGAAAAATACCACAGATTTGACTCAAACTCCGGTCCAGATCGGCATCCAACTCCAAAATGAGAACAAAACTGGACGAGAGAGCTTCCAACGTGTAAGTACTGACTGAATGCAGCTAGGTATGGATAATGCTTGTTCAGACAGGCAGGTTGCTATATATAGCCCATCGCATCATAGGCCCCTACATGACTCACCATGTGATTCGTGACTCACCCAATCAACCGACAGGGAGCAACTTCACCTCATGCATATTCATGACATAGTCAGCTGCATACCCAATGAGGGGAAACCTCCATGATTGATATTCATGAGGTGCTGAATCCCCATACACAAGCTAGTGACATTAACGCAGGAGGAGTGCACACTCATGAATATGCATAATACTTCTTGCATTGTACAGTGTGCAACAATGAACCAATGAGGAGTGTGTAGCAACGTGGCTAGTTATGAGGAAGTGTGGCCTGGAACTTCAGTGAGCCAATCACAAGGAGAGTTGATCCCTCCTCATGAATAAACATCAGTAAAACACCACAAGTTTAGTGGTATATTTTTCTTGGTTTTGAGAGAGGAAGAGTTCTGTATCCTTGGCAGGATGCACCTTCTACTTCCTCCTTCAAAGCTGGCCTGATTTTAAGACTTGGTTAATTTTGTACCAAATTGATACAAATAAAACAATACTTAATCAAATATACAATTTTTTTTTTGTTAAATGTCATACAACATTTGTTTCCAAGTAACATGCATTGTTGTTATAAATGGAGGGTTGATGAGGTACATTATCTTGTAAAACATAGACAAGTCCTCTGGTTATATCTAAATGGTGATCCTCATGAACTGACAAGTGACATTATTTCATGTATTTGCATACAGACAGAAAGTCCTATACAATATACAATTTTATAGTACTGTAGCGACCACATGTCCATAAAGACCACATGGCTTTAAATGTAAAGACCAGTTTAGAAACGCCCCCCTCTCAAAAAATGAAATGGAGCGCCAGGAGGTTCAAATCTGACTGACATGAGCACTAAACAAGAACCTACTATTATTATTATTATTATTATTATTACCAATCATGTGAAAGAATATGTTTTGACTAATATGTGATGATACAAATTTTGCCAAGAAACTGCCTACTAATTGATATATTTGGTAAATTATTATATCTACCTTGACCGGATAGATATCACACACATGTCGCGTAGTCCCATATACACCTTTCTGTGTACAGTGCTTGTAACTTTCCCAAGACTGGGCCAAATTTCTTATCATTTTGATGATTCCAGAACCTTGCAGTACACACCAATACTTTATATGCTAGATGATCAACCTTTTCTGATTGATTTCACAACATTTCTTTCACAATGCAATCGCATGACCATAACTGGTTCTTATCTTTAAAGACCTTTCCTTTCTCCCTTAATCGGTCTTTACATACATGTACATGTTACACTGTAATTTGTTTGGTTTATGTTGTATAAAGCAAGTCTTAAGCTGCTTGTAAACAAAAACACGTTACACAAGTATGCATGGACCCTTTAACATAAGAAAAAGCCCTATTCAATTTTGAAAATTTATTGTATTTCCAATCTTGCTACAATTAATCATATTTATCATAAGGTAATTCAAAATGGATATGTCATAAGTTAGTATGTGAGCTTTAAAAATATTTTCATTATTATGATTATCATACATTGTAGAGTTATAGTTGATTGAAGGAGATATTGGGAAATACAATTAATTTGGGAGAGTTACAAAATTGATTATACCTTTTTATGCAACAGGGGCAAGATGTATTTTCGGTGTATTCACTGAAAAGGCATAACAAGCTAAAAAAATCCTTGAAGTGAGACTGCTTTAGTGGTATCACTTGGACCATACAAAGTGGTTCATCTTGATCACTTATCATCATCAGGATTACATGGAATAAAAGTCTTATCAAACATGCATTGATACCAGGTTTACTTCCTTGAAGTTCACTGAGAGTTTCACCTCTCCTACTTTTAATGGGAAAA